ATAGATGTGAGTATACATTGTTTTAAGCTGACTGTAATATTAATGACTGTTTAGTGATCTTGTTTTTCCAAAAAAGGCTTTTTCTTGTTAAAATTATCTGAAATCTAGACACAGACGAATGTGTTTCTGAGGAGTAAGCCTTCAATATAGGATAGTTATATATATGATATTGGCTCCCTCTTACAGAATTTCTGTGGTCAGAGGAATATGGCCTTGGAGTATATAGATCAGTAGAAACTAATTAGTTTAAAAGATATATGCTAGGGAGATGCCAGAATGGGAGTTTGTGACAAATTTAAAACAGCAACAGATTTTATTTCAAATCTTTGCTGTAACATTTTTCTGAGACTGAATTCGTATCAGCCAATATCAACATTTTTCTTGTTTTTCCAGTCAATTATTTGTTACTCTGCTGCTGCTTTTCAAAGTTGTTTTAGTAGTTCATTAATACAATAATCTTGCACAGTTATAAAAATGAATATGATAGATACTGTTGTTTTATTAGAAAATAATAGCAAATACAGTTTTGGAAAACAAATATATGGAGGAACTTCTATACCTCATTTTCCATGTAAGATGAGAAAAGTGCTTGTCCCACCAGACATAGAAAGTTGATATGACAATTTCAAAAGAAAACTTATCTGCCTAAATGAAAGAAAGCATATGAGCCATTCATTATTGATTGGGAGGAAAAACTTCAGACCTCATCCCTTCATTTGTGGTTACACTTATCCAGATTTGGCACATTGACAGCAATTTACTCAAAGATCCTGAAAGATATTTAAAGTCCCCAAAATATAGCAATACATACATTTTCAGTCCCTTTCTATCTTATCTGTCTTTTCCTGTCATACATTTATTTTTGCTTTCACGATTGTGGATTCATTTGTGGTTGATGCATAATCTATTTGCAAACATTTACATGAAACTATTAACCTGGACCACATTCAGTGACATTTTCTGAAAACTTTATCAGCAAGGGACATAGCTGTCTTCTTGCTTTCACATTTTCATTCTTTTAACTTTCTTGTATCTTAAGTGATAAAACAATATTATTGTGTTTAGTCCATAGGTTTAATGACCCAAAAAACGTGTTTCATCTTTGGTTTAGCCTCCTTAAGTGTACCTTTGTGGTATAGCTTATATTCATTATAGCATTTTCTTTCACTTTCTAAGAATGCATGAATATTAAGATAACTACATTTAAGAATCTGCAAGTTTATTATTTATGCAGTCCTTGCGCAAATTAATAAATCCCATGGTTTCATTTGTATTACCTGTTCCCTCTGCAAAGTAATAGAGTAGGATAGAATAGAATTAGAATTAGACTAGACTATTTCAGCTGGAAGGGAGCTACAGTGACCAACTAGTCCAACTTTCTGACCACTTCAGAGCTGACCAAAGGTTAAAGCATATTATTAAGTACATTGTCCAAATGCCTCTTAAACACTGACAGGCTGGGGCCACCTCTCTAGGAAACCTGTTATAGTGATTGACCAACCTCTCTGTAAAGAAATGCTTCCTAATGTAAAGTCTACTCTTTGCTATGAACCTAGGGGCTTTGTGTGTTACTAGCTTTCCTATGCTAAATTCTCACACTTTTAGTCTTATTCCTTCCCCCTAAAGGAACTTTGTGGTGAGGGCTCTTTGTACTTTTCTGTATATCCTTCTACTTTCTATTTTCCTCTCCCATTTTTTTTTTATTCCCCACCTGTTTTTCTCATTCATAACTCAATTCAATTGATATCAATATATGACTACTTTATAGTACCAGTTATCCAGGAAGTTGGACAGAACCAAATATGATGTGTACTGTCATCTGAAATGTGCCAGAGATTTTCAATGCACAACAGAGAGCTTAAAACTATGAATTTTGCTAACTGATGTTAATGCTTTAATAACATAAAATGGATTTCATCAATTTTTGCCTAGAACTTCATTGAACACTAGTGTGACTCAAACTATCAACAAGTTTTCTCACTTATGATTAGCCCATGGAGGACACTTCATAGCCTTCCTAATTCAGACATCTAACTTTAATTAAATAGAAATAGATTTTTTAAAAAATCATTTAATTTCTTCAGCCACAATATGTGGAGTTTGTGTTAGAACAGAAAATAATGAAATAACCAGTCTTCCACTGCAATGCATATTCTCCTCTACTTAGGAAGTTTTCTCTGCAGCTTAATAACTGAATCAAACTTTCCAGGTATGAGAAGTTTTACCAAATTCCTTCCCCATGGACTACAAATACCCAAGTTAGAGACTAATGACAAATTAAATCCTCTTTCATTCTAAAAACTCCATGATTATTAACAGCACAAATCTTACTGCTCTCATTGTAATCTTTCTGCTTTGCCACAAAGGTTTTGTGCATATATTAAAGGTGATATTCTAATATTCAATACACAAGATGTAAGTAGCATTTAACTCACTCAGAATTCCTAATAACTGCATTTCTACGATTTTAATGTAGATAAATTTAATATAATGCACCTGGAGGGCAAACAATAATAATAAATAGATAAGCGCATTTAAAAAAAAAAAAAAAAAGAAACCAACGCTTAACTTCAAATTTAAGATCATAGATTCTCAGTTGGCCACTTCCATTCAGGAGTGAAATTTTGCACCTATGAAATACAAATTTCTGGAAAAGTTAGCTTCAAGATCTATAGTAGTCAAAATGACCAAATCAGAAGTTGCAAGTTCCTAGAAAAGAAAAAGATAACAAGGCAGAGCATTGAATTAAAAAAGTACATGGTTTGTGAGTATCTTTAATAATGTGTGCAGTTCTATTCCCTTCACAAAAAGAACCTAACAAAACTGAAAGGTTCAGGAAAAGACAACAAAGGTGATAAAAGATATGAATATTTTTCATACAAGCAACGATTAATTAAGCTAAGGTTCTTCAGTATAAAAAACTGTCAACTAATGGAGAAAATGACTGAAGTCTAGAATATTATAAGGAACTTTGTGTGGCAGGGCTCACTAATTTTCTCTTTCAACAGAAGAATTAGGAGGCACAGAAAGAAAGGAATGAAACAAACTGAGTGAAAGCAATTGAAGCAACAGGAGCCAGGTTTGAAACAAACAGGGTGGTAATCTCTCACATGCAATGATTGATAGGCTGAGCTTGTTGTGAAAACATACCATAGATGCAACAAATTTATATGAGTTCAAAGGAAGATTGAACTAGTTGTTGGAAGATAAAGCCTCTGAGAATTAAAAAATGCACGGAAAAGGCATCCACCTCAGAACATCCCTGATCTCAAAGTTGGACACTGAGAGAATATTAAGGGGAATGAACAGATATTTGAAAATAGTCTTATGATTTGTTCCATAGACATTGAATATGGACACAGTGGGAAACACTTTATCTAGACTAGACGAATCTCCCTATTCACTTCTTTTAATAAGCAGGTCTATTGTCTGTTAGGTCATCGACCACGTGAAATAAGAGTTCTGGATCACCGATTGAGATACTGCAGTGTTGTAAGGCCTTTCTTTGGGCCTGAATAGATCCATTTCATCACTGACTCCTAAAGTCAGAAGCAGGAGTCTGCTGTCTACATGTACAAGCTATTAATATTTTAGATGTCACAGAATACATTACCTGCAAAAGGCTAACAGATTGACAAAGGACATTCATGCGTTCTTCAGCTACCATTGAAGTCCAGATGAAATAGGTGAGAGTCCTTAAAAGGAATCTAGCTGCCTGTGTTTAGAGAACTGCGAAGCAGTTTGCTTACATTTGTATATGCACGTCTGTGGGAAGATACCTCCTCATAGACTCTGGGAACTAAATTCTCCTGCTTCCTGGCCTTCAGCCACTTTTCTGAAATGATTCAGTCTCCCAGATATGTGTTCTATGAGATCTAGAGATCTACCAGACTGTACATATATACTGCCATATGCAATTAAAACCTGCTCTAATTTGAGAGTCATCACAATATTGGGATCAGGATCTAGAGGTAATACTCAATTGCCTAAACATAAACATTGAGAGTTTGATCGAATTCTGATGCCTTCAGGTGTCTGAGATCTACATGAGTCTGGCAGACGTGGCACAAAATCTGCATACACATTGCACTCTTCTGGCCTGACACTGATGAGATCACAGAATCATTCAGGTGGGAGTAGACCTCAGGAGGTCTCTAGTCCAACCTCCTGCTCAAAGCTGGATCATCTATGAGGTTAGAGCAGGTGGCTTAGTCCAATGGGATCTTGAAAATTTATAGGCTGATTTACATCATCTAAAAATCTAGTAGATATGTACGCACAGGCAAGTGAATCAAACACTTAACATTTACAGCTTGTAGCCTTCTTCCTTGGAAATATGGAATATTCTTTCGGCTGTGTGCATAGAACATCTGTTTTGGTAACTACCGATTATAGTTTTTATGCCAATAATAATCCATTATCTGGATTATTAATCCTTAATTTTGCCAGTAAAAGAGCAAAAGCATAGATTCAAAACTTGCACAAGCAAATTATTTTTTTTTTAGTTGGTTTGGGTTTTGTTGCTGTTAGGGTTGGGTTTTTTTGTTTGTTTTATTTGGTTTTAGAAATAAGTGATGTTCCTGGAAAATATTACATAAAATACTGTAGAATGTTGTTATGTTATATGACTACACATTCAAGATGCTTGCAAAGAGATGCCTTCTGGATCTTTTCAGTGTTATGTTGGAAACCATTAAAACTAAGTCAGACTGTAGCCTACAAGAGAATACTTAATTTTCTTCAGTGTCTTCAGTAAGGGATTAGTATGATTGTAGTTTTAAGGAATAGTCAGTGATATAAAAGTTGCTGAGAGTCTTTTAAAAAATCAACTAAATATTTACTTTCTTGTCCCTCCTCAAAGAAAAATAGCCCTGCAAACCCCTGTATTCTACAATTAAGTGATATGCTTATGACATCCATTTTGTGATTTTCTCTCATTTCATAGTATTGCTTTTCTAGGAATTTCTAGTATTTTTGATTCACAATTGTGTCATTCACAGATATTGGCTGACCTAGAAAATCATGCGCTTTTTAAGGATGACCTAGAATGCCAGAAGCTTATTCTAGAAGCCATGAAATACCATCTTTTACCAGAGAGAAGAACTCTCATGCAAAGTCCAAGAACTAAACCTAGAAAATCTACAGTTGGGACACTTTATGCTGTTGGAGGAATGGATAACAACAAAGGTATTGGAGAATATTTGTTACTTCATAAAAGTTGTATTTTGCATATTCTTTATTAGAAAATAGTAAAATAACTTTCTGCTGGAGGTGTCTAAATCAGTCAAGAAATGCTGCCAAGACTTTGGGTCCAATGAAAATCTACTAGTATCTAAGGAAATGTATAATACTGTTAAAGAAAATAAACTGAGTTTTTAGTTCATGCTTTGTTCAAAATTATTATAATTTCCAGAAAGAATTTAAACAAAAAAAAAATTAGTGACATTCATTTACCTTAGGTTTAGGTTTCTAGAAATTATGTTTCATTTGTAAGTCAAATATGTACATACCTTTTCTAATCAATGAAAAACAATAGTCTGATATGCTAGTGTATTCCATCCTTAAGTGGTTATCTGAAAGATTATGGATGGTTCATGTTCCTCCAATGCTGAAATTTATCAATCTTCTAGAGAAAAAACCTAGACAAGTAGCTTAAACTAAATTGCTACTTTGTCAACAGCTAAAGGACAGTGAAATTACACCCATCTTCTTGTGAAAAAAAAGTAGGAGTGGAAATTTTCTTGAAGTATTTTCTTGTTATTTGTTGGGAATAAGAATTGTGATGATGTGTTTTTATTTCTGATAAGAAGTCTAATCCATTGATTTCTTGAATGAAATGAAATAAAATATTTGAACTAAAAGCTAGCTGTGTTATAAGCCTATATTCTCAGAAAGGCTTTTATTATTTTTTTTTCTTGAAATTCATTAACAGTTCCACAGTATCTTACATTTTCATGTCCATATTTAGACTGAAGAATATGCCTTCAGAAACATTAGTTCTAATATAAACTAAACTGTACATTGCCTTTGGATTGTAAAATACCTGAAATACAAATTTCCCCTTACTTAAGACAAATGTGGAAATGACCATAAACCCAATCTAGGTCCAGCTGTATTTGTTCTAGCTTACTATACAGATCTGTTCCTCGTTCATATAGCAAATCAAAATATAGAAATATTTAGGAAGACAACACAGAGCGTACATAGCACCGTTGCAGCATCAACATACAAACTATTTTGCAGATTCAGGTCAGGCAGAAGCGGTTTATTTCTGTAGCAGCAGGAGAGGACACAGTGTGAGAGAGGTGCAGCCCTCTGTCAATGTGAATTGCAACTGAAAACAAAAGTACCAGGGCTAATATATGTTTACAGCTGATAAAAACTGCTTTGAGAGGGGGCCTGGCATGGCAAAGCAGCAACTGCATAGTAGGAGCCTTTGTTACAGCCAATGTAACATGTATTCCTAGTAACTCAGGATCTGCAGCCGTGTGGCCTTGATTTGCATCTGCTCAGCTCATCCTTCTGGTGATGCTGCTATGTCCTTGACTAGTTTTTATGCCCAATGAGTCTTGCTTTCACAAGTCAGTTTGGGAGACCCAAGTGCTGGTTGTGTGTTTTGAAGAGTCACTGAGTTCATAAGCACACATCTATTTGGGTCGTGAGGTGATGCTGATACTGTATTGTCTGTCCTCAATAAGTAATAATTTAATTTTTTCCACAACTTTTTCCACTGAAATGCTGACATGGATGATTGTGATTCACAATGATGTATTTTTAATGCCTTTTGGTGTTTGAAAATATGAAACAGTTACATATAAGAACTAGATGAGCTAAGCAAATTAGCAATTCATTAGCTAGCACATAAAAGAGTAAGTGCTAGTATTATGAAAGTATTTGAAGGTTATGTGGCCCATCACATAAAAAGTAGCCTTGCATGCTAAATCAAGTTTGTTTTGAAATTTGTTCTATAGTTATCTTCCTTTACCTAAAAAAGAGGTGATAATTAAACTTCGGGAGTCAGTGACTGGAATTATGCCTGACACGTTAAAAGTTAATGCAGTATGGTACTATCTGGATAGAATTAAAAGGAATAAAGTTAGATAATTTTGTAATTTTAGTTTTCTAAACGTATAAAACCTGTTTCCACACACCTTTTTTAATTTATTCATTTAATTTGTAGGGCACATATAAGAAACACATTTTCTCTATGTTTACATTAATAGAATGAGATGTATTAAGAGATTAGAGGTATATGCTTCTGACAATGTTCAATTCAATTTATCCTGCCATTTCCTCACACTGACTTCTGTAATTTGGATTAGCAGGATTTAATCGTCCAGTAGTACAAAATAGCTGTCTAAAAGCATATATAAAAAAGGACTAGAATGAAATAAATGAGTAAATGCAAGTGGACATAACGCCAATTTGTAAGAATGGTAAAACACTGACTTCTCGCAGCCATCTTGGAATCCCAACTGCGGAACAAAAGCCACGTGATAGAACATTGTGTATATGGTCTATGTTAGATAATGCTATGGAAAATTACTATGACGAAAATATTCTTGCATAGCAAGAGGAGATTTGGTGTAAATAATTCAGCAGTGTTATATTGATGGCAGAATGCTGAATGATCTCTTATGAGGTGTTGTAATCTCTCTCACTACTTAGCAGGTAAAATAATAGCGCACAAGAAGAATCTACAGAAAAAGAAAACAAAAGAAAACAAAAGTGTCAGGGTAATTATGATCCAAAATCACCGGTATATATTTTGGAATAGTCCTCGTTTAGTTCATCAAAGTCCTGGACTAGCTCATTATTCACTGAATCACCGTGTTTAAGTAAATAAAAGAGAAAAAGAAAAGAAAAATTACATGCACAAGAAACTCTTCCACAAAAATGACACAGGTCACTAATAAAGAGAGGGAAGAGTTGATTTACTGAAACATTGATAATACAGATGTGGTGGTGTTAATCTTGTGACCACAATCACAAAAACTGTTCTGATGGTAAATAGGTGAGGTCCATCATCAGTCTGTATCAAACAATGTTATAAGTCCTTTCACTATTATTTAGATATTTTAGAAAGATCTTTTATATTACGACAGCTGTACTAAAAAATGAATCTTTTGAAGTGTAAAATTGTGAGGTGTCCAGTCATTGTTCCTTAAACTCCCATGTTGCATATTTTGCCTTTTCTTTAGTGATTTTCAATCATTTGTAATACTTTTTTCTTTACAAATGTGGTTTATCAAATGTGGTTTATTACTTATATGTCATTATTTCACAGGAATGTCATCTAACACAGCTACATGAAGTTACTCTCTTGCTCTGTTGAACTTCAAAGATGTCCTTTTTTTTCTGGGTTTTTTTTTTAGTTTCTAGCAAGACATTTCTCACAACACACTTCACTTAAACCTTTTTTATCTTAATTTTATATTTTTTATTCTCATATAGGCATATTTTTTTAAATATGGAAAGAAATACTGGATAATCTATTGTAAATACTGAAGAGAAAGTCAAAAATAAAGATAGATTATAGTTTTCCTTTTAGGTAATTCTTCTTGCTTTTTAAGATAAGCATCTGAAATGTCTGTAACTTGAAAATCTACGTATATTCTTCATCTTCAGTTTAGTGGGAATTAGTAAAAAGAAAAAAAAAAAGTAACATCTATCAAGATTGTTTCACGGCATTTTGCAAGTTGTGGAAATTGCTACAAATCACTTTGTCTTCACATATATAAAACATTTGACAGCATTCATTGTTTATTCATTTGAGGTACGTAACTATGTTGAGAAAACATCTTATCTTCATCTTAGTTGCATTTTCATTTAAAATATACCATGTACAGTAACTGAGTTTAATTTTCTGAATGTTAGTGCTTATAGTCCTTGTATTTGTATAATACTCAAACAGCAAAACCTACCTAAGAAGGTATAGTATTTTCTTTTCAAAGGAAGAAAAGAAAAAAAGTCTAATGTGTTTATTACAGAATATTTCTCCCTGGTGTGCTTTTTGAAAAGTTTTATATAACTATGCATACTTTGTAAGTGTCCACAGATGTGTGTGTATATATACTCATATATATACAAGTAATAGGAATTATTGATGTTTTTTCTTAAAAGTTTGAGGCTGTAGCATAGTGAAATATCCCACCCTATCTGTTGTATTGTGGTGGGTTGACCCTGGCCAAAATGCCAGGTGCCCACCAAAGCCACCCTATCACTCCCCCTCCTTAACTGGACAGGGGAGAGGAAAAAAATAACAACAGGCTTGTGGGGTTGAGATAAGGACAGGGAAATCACTCAACATTTACCGTCATGGGCAAAACAGACTCGATTAAAGGAAAATGTAATTTATTACCAATTAACTCACTCAGAGAGGAGTAATGAGAAATAAAACCAAATCTTAAAACACCTTCCCCCCATCCCTTCCTTCTTCCCTGGCCTTAACTTTGATCCCATTTTCTCTCCCTCCTCCACCCAAGCAGAGCGGGAGGGGAAACAGGGAATGGGAGTTGGGGTCAGTTCATCACTCTGTTGTTTTCTGCCGCTCCTTCCTCCTCAGGGGGAGGA